AGAGAGAGAGAGAGAGAGAGAGAGAGAGAGAGAGAGAGAGAGAGAGAGAGATGACACTGGTTATGCTTTCCAGAGATTGCTTCTGCTCAAAAGAGGCTTACTGAGGGTGGAGACAGCTTCTGCTCAAAAGAGGCTTATTGAGGGTGGAGACAGCTTCTGCTCAAAAGAGGCTTACTGAGGGTGGAGACAAAAGGGAGGGGTGTGTGTGCGTGTGTGTGTGCCTGTGTGTGTGTGTGTGTGCGTGCGTGTGTGTGTGTGTGTGTGTGTGTGCGTGTGTGTGTGTGTGTGTGTGTGTGTGATAGATAGATAGATAGATAGATAGATAGATAGATAGATAGATGACACTGGTTATGCTTCTCAGAGATTGCTTCGTACTGCTCCAACGGCGACTCATCAGGGTGACAATCCCTCGAGTGGGTTTTTGGGGCTTGTTCAACACTCCTCGGGCGCGTAAAGTCCCCGAGGAATTGTTCGTTCCACCTATCCTCGGGGATGCAGTCGGCAAAAAAAAAAGGTGAAAACACTCCTAAGGAAATTCCTTGGGCTCCGAGGATTCCCCAGCCATTTCTTCCTTTTGCCCAAGGGACCTCATGGAATCCGCATTTCACGGACAGGAGCGGGCACATGGGTAGAGAGACGTTATAACCGAGAATCTGGATCGTGGCGGCACCCTACTGGCTGAAGGCCTCAAACACATTTGATCTTTTTTTTCTTTTCTTTTTTCTTGTCTGACATCGTTCGAAGGAAATGTCCTCGGGCGACGTCCCCGAGGACAGGTGGAATGATGGCGGGAATTTCCTTGAAAACCCCTAAGGAAACTTCCTTCGGCCCCAAGGACGCCCCAAGAAGTGTCGACCGAACCCCTTTGTCCGCATGCCAGGCGCCACTCATTGGAAGAGGCATCCTACTAAGGAGGGGGAGGTGAGGAAGGTGGGTGTTAGAGAGCAAGGGACGATAACAGGGAGGGGGGTCCCCAAGGAGACGGACTAGAGCAGGGCGATGCACCCCAAAAGGACGAGGGCAGCT